CTTCTTTTCTCTTTCTTTCTTCCCTTTTTTTTTTTGAGCTGGAGTCTCACTCTGTAGCCCAGGCTGGAGGGCAGTGTCATGCTCATGGCCACCGCAGCCTCAACCTGCTGGGCTCAGGTGATCCCTCTGCCTCAGTCTCCCAAATAGCTGGAAATACAGGCGCTTGCCACCACACCTGGCTAATTTTTTAAAATTTATTTTAGAGACAAGGTCTCACCAAGTTGTCCAGGCTGGTCTCGAACCCCTCGACTCAGGCAATCCTCTTGCCTCGGCCTCCCGAATTGCTGGGGTTACAGGCTCGAGCCACTGCGCCCAGCAAGGGAATGTTTCTACACTGTTGGTGGAAGTGCAAACGAATTCAACCTTTATGGAAAACAGTGTGGTGATTCCTAAAAGAACTAGAAATTGACCTTCCATATGACCGCACAATTCCCCCTCTGGGAATATACCCGGAAGAACTCAAACCATTCTCCTAAAAAGATGCATGCACACGCCTGTTTATTGCAGCACTATTCACAATAGGAACAATGATGGAACCAATTGTGTGACCCATCGAAATTGAATAAAAATAAATGTGGTACATATACACAATGGAACATCATGCAACCATAAAGAAAGACAAAATTATGGACTTCGCAGCCACTTGGATGGATTTGGAGTCGATCATACTCAGTGATCTATCACAGAAACAAAGATCTAAGTACCACATGTTCTCACTCATGAGTGGACCCTGAACACTATCATAATACCACAAAAAAGGGATTGGCAGTAGCAGGACACTGCCAGGCATGGAGGAGGGCGGCACATAACATCAGTGAGGAGACCTGACTTGTACTCCCCAACTTCAAAAAAATAAAAGATAAAGCAAAATGGCTCCAATAAAGCAGAGGGAATGCATAAAGTTTACTGTTTCACCTTTCCCACTGAGATCCACCCAGAACTGATGGTTGTACGTGACCACAAAGTGTGGTTAAGGTTCATTTTTTCCATCTGAGTCTCTGTCTGATGACCTTGCCCCTTTTATTGAAAAGGCCACCCTGTCCCCGCAGCTCTCCTTCCTCTTCCGTCCTAGATGAAGTGCCTGTGTGTGTGAGGGTCTGGGTCTCAGTTCTGCTTTCCCTCCTAATGGGTCCCTTCATCCAGCTTGCACCAATACCACACTTAGTTTCAGACAATAAAAACCAATTTTATAAAACGAATGACACAACTAAAATAAGGAAATGATAAAAATAAATGCATTTTAAGATCAAGGGAAACAAAGGAGAACAAGGAAACTGGCAACTTAGGGAGGCGTGTAAGGGGGTCAGGGGCTTAAAGACACTTTAACTTAGTTTGACGTTCCGGCTTCTCAGGTCAGCCCTACAGGTCAACCAGCTCTTCGCTGCATCAGGGGCTTGATCTGAATAAAGTGTGTGTGTTGAGAAAAAGCGCTCACAGTCAACCTCATACTTCACCTGGGGTGAGGAATTTAATGTGACTTCTCCTCTTTCTCAGCACGAGGATCTCCCTCTCTATGCTGTTGGTCTGTTCCCCCCAACTCCGAGCCTGTTCCTTTCTCTATTTGTTTTTCCCTGCCTTGTTCATGGCCTAGAGATGCCACTGACCCAGTACCTAGGGCAGCCGGGAGCCTCAGCTATAGAGAAAAAGGAGGGAGGACGTGGCAAAAGGGGCTAGGGCAGTTGCTTTTTCATGTCAGTGGTGATAAAGGTCATGTTACATATGGTGTTTGGGAGAACAGTTGATTTTTCAATTAGTAAAGTTGGTTTTGACAAATAAAGAAGAAAATGGCAAGGTGTGACTTGACTGAGCAGAAGCAGTACTAATTATAGTACCCCTGCGAAACTGTTTGTGGTGAAATAACACATATGGTGGCCAATGCACACAAGTCAGGACAAGTTGTACTTCAAAGTGTTAATGAAGTCTATTTTCAAATGCTCGGCTTTCAAAACATGTTCCTTATTTATCAGATATCATCACTTAAAACAAATAAGAACCTAAGCCATGATTCCTCCTTATAAGACTTTTATTAATGCCAGAAATGAAAAAGCAAAAACAAAATGAATTTGAAAAATCAGTGTGATTGTGGGTGCAGAGACGATATGACTGGGGACTGAGGAGAAAGCCAGGCCCCAGGGGAGCCTTCCATCTCAACTCGGACCTAAAGGTCATGGTTCAGCTGATCCTTGTTCCATGGTGAAGTGACCTGTACAGTGATCCCTCACCGGGTGGCTTTTTGCCTTGATACCCAGGCTGTGTGCTGGGTCCCGGAGCTTCTTCCTCCCCAAGGATAGCTGAACTCCCAGCGTTCCTGAGTTTGTAGCCTTCTGGCCTCGCAGGCCTGAGACCCTTCAGTTCCCCGTCCAACACTGGATAACCCCCAATCTGGAGGAATTTTCTAACAAAACAAGACAGAAAGAAACAACACAAAAAGACACTACAAAAAATCAATGTGGGGCTCATCACTGCATTGCCTTGTTATGCCAGTTCCCATATCTTCCAGAAAGGTATACAACACTCCATGGACACTTGACTCAGAATGGTCTATGAGATTATTTCTGTAACAGACATCAGGCCCTTGGCCAGAAACATAACCCTCTCTCACAGGCACATCGATTATCTCTGTCAAAACCAAAACTTGGCTGCCATAATTTTGACTTACGGTGCCTTTCTCAGGAGCCTATGCTGCTATCAGTTCAAAAACTACCTGATCTTTGCTTCCCTGAGCTGTTACTCTTTTGCATAGTCATTCTTTAGCAGTTTTATCAATGCAAGACATAATTGCATGTACTCTGAAAATGACGGTTGAGTCAACTTTTTAAAAATTATTTTTTAAAATTCTGACCTCTGTCACCTTCCGTGCCTTTTCAGAGCACTCCTGTTTTTAATTACTCACATCCAAACAGGTCACACTTCTCATGTGTGTGTTGCTTCATGCTATACATGCATTCCTGGAAATGTTTTGTAGAAACACATTTCTTTTTTTGGTCAATTGAATCACACTTCACTACTGACATCATTTCAGCTGTAGTTTCTTATCTGTCTTCAGGCTGGTGTGGTTCTTGGCACGTGGGGCTACAATTTCTCTGCACAATCTTTGTCAGGTAATCCATGATGCTGACACAAGTGTCTCACACATGAGGAAGCTACCGTGTATGGGAACTAGCAGCCTGCAGCCTTGGTCTCTTACCTGAAACTCTGTAATGCTTTGCGAGTCACATGGGGAGTAAGGTAGCTTCTTACAGGCTTATGAAACAGAATGGCTGTGGGGTGTGAGATGTGGGGAGCTCTCTCCTTGCTCTGTCCAGGCCCACTAAAGGCCCTGAACTTAGTTAAAGTACTTGGTGATTTCCTCCCCACTTTTCCCCAGGAAGAAAATAACATCTCCAGAACACGCTGCTTTGAAAATCAAAATGATTTCTTGAATGGTCTGCAAAACTAAGACTTTGGCATATGCTTAACTTTGGGGTGATTTGAAATCCTGAAACTCTGTAGCAAAGTGTACAACTGCCTCAACTACACTGACTACCACGGACCTGACTGCCTATCTGATCTATTCTCACACGTAAGGCACAGTGCCAGTTGGAATGGAGGACTAGTATCTGCTTAGTTCTCAGTTATCCAGATATGTCTTCTGGTTGTCGGTGCTCAGAAGGATCAAGAGGGGTCAGTAAACAAAGCTCCATGCCTAATGGAGACCTTCATTCTGGGTCCCCTGGGCCCCAGGACCTGTAAAGAAAGGGATGACACAATGTCTTCATTACAAAGTGAGAGTGTTTATACTCTCAGGAACTAGTCATTTCTCAAAGCAGAAGGGAAAAATTGTCCAGGAAAGCTGGGAATTATACTCATTGAGTTTTTCTCTGGTCATTTCTCTCTATCACTCAGAATCTTGGGCCCCTCATGGAAGAGCCAGGGACAGATTATGCCTTTCCTGAGGCAGTAAAAATTCCTCTGCAAGCATTAGCCAGCTCACAGGGAAACACTGCACAGAAGTCCATGATTCTAGAATGGATTTCACACTGATCATCAGTAGGTATTTCTTGTTGAAACTACTGATATTGTTAGAGTTCCAGTTGAGCATCACACAAAGAAACTGTCACTTGACATGCATATCTTTCAAGTATCCAAGCGCCTGCTCATATCCCTATGAAAGGGAGAGGGGATGCTGACTCCTCCTGTGTCTGCGGGTGTCACCCACATGGCTCTAAGGTTGACCCAAGTGTTTGATTTTCATCAAAATCCTCAGAGGCAGTGTGAGATAGTGGAATGAGCCTGTAATTGGCAGCCTGGAAGACTCTATTCAAAGCCCAAGTCTGTGTCTTGGTTCTGTGAATGATCTTGGGCAAAGTGGTCCCTCCTCTAGTTCTCAGTTTTCTTTTCTTTAGAGTGGAACAACAGTCTCTGTCATGCTTAGCTTCTGAGGTCTTTTAGGGGAAGAGATGAGGTGATGTATGTGAACGCATGCTGGGAAAAGGCCAACAGCAACAAAATACCTGGCTCCAATGTCCTCAGAGTCACCAGTGTCATCTGATATACTTATCACAGAGTCTGGGACCCATTGCCTCTGTTGCTGGAGTTGTCTTTCTTTGGGGCTAGAAATCATGGGTCTCCTGGAGTCTTTGGAGCGAGGAGTGCAGATTTTGCCACCATTGCTGGGCTTGATCTCTTCAGCTGTGTCTTCAGGGGCTGAAACAAGATGGTCTCTAGGGGACCCTCTGCTATAATCGTTTATGATTCTGATGAAAGCACAGAAGAAACATCAGAATTTCAGACACCAGAGTCAAATACTTGCTCCAATATCTGCTTCAAATGCTCAGCTTAACAGATTGTTAGCATGATTTTTAGGAAACTGTTTTCTGAAGTCTTGTTTTTATTGTTCCTACTCCTGAGCGGAGTTTTTTACATCCCAGTAAGTGGCTGTGGAATCCTCTACCTCCACCTCCTGCAATGGCAGAGGCAACTGCTGCCGCAGGCTCAGATGAGGAGGCAGGGAGGCGGGATTCCTGCTTCTCTGCATACAGTGCATCATCAGGTCTTCTCTGCTGAAGGTTCTTGCCAAGAGCCTGGAAACTACATATTTTCTCTTGGTTTTGACCTGTGTTGACCATCAGTGTGTTTTAAATGAAAACAACTCAAACTGAGCCCCGAGCTTCCCCGTTTCACACATAGCCCAAGCCCACACCTCTCACACTTTGGACTGCCTCTCATCCGTCCACTCCTGCTTTGTGCTCTGGAGAGCTTGGGTCTTCTGCTCATCCACTTGGACATAGTCCACTCTTTGCTCTTCTGAAAGGAGAAGTTTCTGAAGAGGGAGAACAAAAAGGTTTTTATCACATGCAATTTAAAAGCCCAGAAAATGTCTATCTTTCCATGGTGGATTACATAGTGCCAAATAATCACTGCCCCTTTTTCCCTGCAGAAGCATTATACTTCGAGTGTGTATGTGGGAGGGTGCCACTGCTCCCCTCACCTTTGCCCTAGCCTCTTAACTTACTTTGACCAACAGAATGTGAATGGAAGTGACATGTGCCGATCCTCAGGAGAAAAGAGGCGTCGTGTAATTCTGCCATCTCTCTTTTTCCTCTGGTAGGAGCCCAGCACACATCAGGTGGGCACTACTCCTTATACCTGGGCCCTGGACAACTCAAGATGACCCAGAACACACAGGATCTGGCCTACAATGTAACAACCAAAAGAATCTCGGTTGTTTCTTTTGAAGGCATAGTCTGCCAAAGATGGCTAATACACCTTTTGTACTGGCTCCCACCCTTCTGACCAGCTTTTCTCAGGGTCAGTGCAGGTTTTGGAATGACATTAAAGGCAGAGGAGGAACATGAGTTGCTTCAGCAAAGGGGAGAAAAATTGTCCAGAGTCTTTCTATGCATACACACACAAGTGGAATCATCTGTTACTCAGTTGCTGGTTTTCGACAAACAATACATTGTTAGGCACAGTTTGGATTATGGCCATCCCTTGCTCGAAATTATTTTGTCATTGCCCACTGCTTACCATTCATTCATTTCTTACACTGTATACTTGGTGATACTAGCTCATAACTAAGGTCACTTACAGGTATTAACTCAGTAAGTGCTCACAATGGCTCTCAATGAAAGTGCTATTTCTGATTCCCATTTTTCATATGAGAATACTACCGAAAGGAGAAAAAACGGACCAAAAGTCCATCATTCCCTAAAGTCTGGCCAAAGTGGGCAGTTATTTGTTCCCTAAACAGGCCCTTCATACACCTGGAGAGCCCTCTACTCCACCCTCACTTCTGCTGAGAAATGTTTCTATAAGCTTTATGGTTTAAATTTTGAAATGTGTGAACATAACATCTATTTATACATATACATGCAAGAAACATACCCTGGAAGGAACTACATCAGGATTTCATTCTCTCTTGGAGGTGGGAATAGGACTGATTACAATATTTTCCATTAAACATTTCTGCATTTTCACTATGTTCTAAAGAGACTAAGCATAGTTTGAGCATCAGAAAAGTCTAAGCAGAAGTGGAATCACTTGAGAATTCTCAGACACAAAGCCCATCCTACCTGCTGTGTGGGGGCTGGTGAAGCTGAGTTGAAGTCCAGGGCCAAATAATCCAGGCTGAATTTCTTTGTCCATGGAAGAGCACCAGTACTCAGGGAGTTGGCTGCTCGGTGCTCCTCCTAGGAACCAACATCACAGGACTCAGGTTAATGATGTCTACCTGGGCTGCCTAAGGGCAGGAGGGCAAGTTGTGACTCCATTAGAGCAGCTGCCATCAGATTGTAATATAGTGGTCTGATGAGATCCGAGCAAATCAGCCTGCATATATGAGTGGGAGCTGGCATTTCAAACATGATAGCCAGTACGGCCTTCACTATGAAACCATGCCATTATCTCCTAGGGAAATGTTTGCCAGAATCCCTTCAGAAAAGAATTCGCTTTATGAACCTGACATGCCCGTGATACTTTAAAGATTACAACTTGAAAAGATCAACTATACTTATTAAAGTTCTAGTAAAAAGGTTGGGCATGGTGGCTCATGCCTGTAACCCCAGCGCTTTGGGAGGCCAAGGCAGGAGGATCACTTGAGGCTAGGAGCTTGAGACCAGCCTGGGCAACATAGCCAGACCTCAGCTCTACAAACACTGAAGAAAAAATAAGTTCTAGTAAAGGCATCTCAAATGCATTTAAAGATACTTTACACAATACAAACAAACAGTTATACAAACAAACAGGTGAAACTCACAATCCAGTTTAGAAGAGGAAGTCTGACAATATCTTTGAAGCTACTATTTTCCTTCTACCATCTCCTCTTCTCCCAAAAGATTAAGTACTATCTTGAATTTTGTGCTTACCACTCCTTTTCTTTTTAAATACAGTTTTATGAGTATGTGAGCATCCTTAAATAACACTGTTTAGTTTTGCCAGTTTTTGAACATCGTATCAATAGAATCACATTGTATGTATTTTTGGCGGCTTCAGTTTGGGTTTAAAATTATGTACTTCACATTCACATTCATTAACGCATTAGCCCTGTTTCACTCATTGTCATTGGGTCAGATATTCCATTGCATAATTTATTTCACAATTCTGCTACCAAAGGACACTTGAGTTGCTCCCAGCCTAGGGCTATTATAAGCAATGCTGCCACGAGCATACTTACACCTGTGGGAGAATTTCTAGGGCATTTTCCCATGAATAGAATTGCTGCATCAGAGGATGTGAGCATCTTCAACATTACTAAATGCCACCAAACTATTTTCCAGAGTGGTGGTGGTTGCACCAGTCTGCATGTCAACCAGTAGTGTATAAGGGCTTCTATTGTCCCCCATCCTGGCCAACACTTGGTATTGTCAGACTTTTTAATGTTTTTCCAACCTGAGACAGGTAAGTAGTATCTAACTGTGGTTTGATTTTCCATTGCTCTAATTAAAATAGTTACTCGAACACTTTTTCATATGTTGAAGAGTCATTTTTTTTTCTCCTCTGTAAGTTGCCTGCTTGGTCTTTTTGTTTGTTTTGTTTTGTTTCTGGTTAATTTTTCTGTTGAATTCTTTGTGTTTTTCTTATTTACCCTGAGTACTTCCTATATCCTGAAGAGTAACCATTTGTTGGTTATGTATGTTACAGGGAGCACATGGCTTCTCTTTTCGTTTTATTTATTTGTTTGTTTGTTTGTTTATTTATTTATGGTTTAGAGTTGTGGGGTACAAGTGAGGATTAACTACAAAAGTAGGCTGCATGCAGGTGAAGTTTGGGCTTCTAGCTGGTCCTCTCTCCCCCTGGTGGTGGACCAGGTACCCTTTGTGTTGTCACATGTCTCCCTCCCTCCTCCCTCCCTCTCTCCCTCCCCTAGATGTGCCCCACGACTGCCGATCCCACCCTTATGCTAATATGACTAGTGTTCAGGGCCTGCTTATGAGTGAGAACATGTAGTATTCAGTTCTTTGTTTCTGTGATAGTACACGTAGTATGATGGTTTCTAACTGCATCCAAGTGACTGCAAAGGCCATGATTTTGTTCTTTATGGCTGCATACTATTTCATCATGTATATGTACCACTTTTTCTTTATCCAGCCCACTTTCAGTGGGCTTCTGTGTTGGGTCCATGTTTTTGCTATTGTGAATAGTACAGCAATAAACATGTGTGTACAGGTGTCTTTTTGGTAGAGCAATTTCCGTTCCTCTGGGTATACTCCCCAAAGAGGAATTGCCGGATCATATGGAAGATTAATTTTTAGTTCTGTTGTTTTTTGACTTGTTAATGATAGCCATCCCTACTGGAGTTAGGTGGTATCTCATTGTAGTATTGATTTGCATTGCTCTGATGATTAGTGAGGCTGAGCATTTTTTCACGTATCTGTTGGATGTTTGTATGTCATCCTTTGAGAAATGTCTGTTCATGTCCTTTGCCCACTTCTTAATGGGGTTGGTGTTTTTGTTTTGTTTTGTTTTTTGTTTTTGTTTTTCAGTTCGTTTGAGTTCCTTGTAGATCTTGGACGTTAGGCCTTTGTCAGATGCATAGCTTGCCAACATTTTTTCCCATTTCTTGTGTTGTCTCTTTACTCTCTTGATGGCTTATTTTGCTGTTCAAAAGCTTTTCAGTTTGATAAGGTCCCACCTGTCTATCTTTGCTTTTGTTCATTTCTTTTTGTGGTATTTCTTTTAAAGGAGAGAAGTTCCTGCTTTTAATGTAATATGTCAATCTTTTCCCATATGACTTGTACTTATTTTTTGTTTAAAGAGTCCTTCCCTAGGTCTTGATATCTGGTAGGACAAATTCCCTCTGCTTTGTTCTTCTTCCATAATGTCTTGGGTAATCTTGACCTTTGATCTTATATATGCATTTTAGAATGTCATTTTAGAATGAACTTCAAAGTTCCTCAAAAACCTCTGTTAGAAATTTGGTAAGACGTCATTCAAGTATTTCCACTTAGGAACGTGGTCTACCTTTCCATTTATTTGGTTCTCCTTAATGTCTTTTAATAAAGTTTTAATAGTTTTCTCCATAATGTTTTCACTAATTTTTTGTTAGATTTATCCCTAAATACCTACAGCTTGTAGGTACTATAAATGGTAAGTTTTTTTTAAATTCCACTTTCTGTTTGTTACCACTATATAAACATTGAACTGGATTTTGTGTATTGATCTTTATATCCGTCACTTTTGATAATATTTTCTATTAATTCTAATTATTTATTTCATTAACTAAAATAATAACAAAATAATCTAAATACATCAATTTAGATTATCTTGAGATTTCTGGCTAGACAATCACTTCATCTATGAATAATCATGGTTTGTCTTCTTCTTTTCTAATTCTTATTCCTTTGGTTTCTTTAATTTGTCCTCTATCATTGAATGGGACCTCAGATACAATGTTGACTAAACGTAGTTAAGAAGTTATCCTTGCTTTGAACCTGATTTTAAGAAAAATATTTTTAGTGTTTAACCACTGAGTATAATACCTACTATAGATTCTATAAGATTCACTTTTCATTTTTTATAAGGTTAAAGAAAATTCCTTCTATTTCTATTTACTAACAGATTTTTTTCATGAATAGATGTTGAGTTTTATCAAATGCTTTTTCTGCATCTAGTAATATAATATAATTTTTTCCTTTAGTATGTTTACCAGCTTGACTGCCTTAATAGATTCTCCTGGTTTACAGTAATAATAGCTCATCTCTCCCCAATATCAAAACCTAGGTCTTGCCACCAGGACTACTCAAATAGCCCAGATAAACATCTTCCAATCTCCAGATGCAGTTGTAAAAGTCTGATCGTCAACATTCTGGAAAAGAGAGGGTGAGAAAAGGGCTTGAGAATGGCTCTCATATCTGTTACGCATATTTATTTAATTACCTTGTTTTTAGTATAGTACTCATGGTCAAATATGTCCAGTATCCCCCAGTGCAGAGACTCCTTGTTTAACTCTCTCCAGAGAATACACATTAACTTTTCTGTGGAATGGGGGATGGGAAGTCACAGTGGTCTACCCTCATGGAGTGAGGAAGGGGATCTTGGGATTTGCCTGCTGCCTACACAGACTTTTGACCATTACTCCTTCCTTTCCATTCTCTTTAGCCCTACTTTGGAACTTTCTACTGTGGAAAATTCCTGAACCCTATGGGTATTCTGCATTATAAGTCAAGTGGCTTCTTGCTTTCCTCCTAGCATATATAAGATTTTATTTTATTGGGTCTTATAAGTCATTTACTATATGACTTTTAAGTCATATACAACTCATTTACTATACAACTTGTACATCCATCTGTTTTCCAGTTTCCAGCATGTTACTGCTATTTTCTTCTCCAATTCTTCACATTCTTGTTGGTTTATGCCTTTAACAAATCTCTTCACTGTACCGTTATTTTAGAGGATGTTTCAGGATGGTGGGGAAATAGAAGCTTGTGGTCAATCTGCCATCTAAGGGTCATCCATATTGTATCATGTATCGGTATTTTATTTCTCATTATGGCTACATAATATCTTGTTGTATGGCTATACTACAATTTGTAATTTGTTTGTTTAAAGACGTGGGGTACAATTCATGGTTAGGTACCTAAGCGGCCATCATACAGGTGAAGTTTGGGTATCCCATTTGTCCTCACTTCACCTGGTTTGGAATCAGATACCCTTATTAATGCCATGTGCCCCACCCCAGCAGTGATCTGCTATTGCCAATCTCCTTCATGTAGCATTATGATAAACGCTCAGGGTCCACTTATGAGTGAGAACATATGGTACTCAGTTCTTTGTTCCTGTGATAGATCACTGAACATGATAGACTCTAAATCCATCCATGTTCCTGAAAAACCCATAAATTTTGTCCTTCTTTATGGCTGCATAAAGTCCATCTTTTTTTTTTTTTTTTTTTTTTTACTCAGTCCAGTTTCTATGGGCAGCAGGGTCGGTTCCATGTTTTCGCTATTGTGAAGAGTGCTGCAATAAACATGCATGAGCAAGTATCCTTTTTGCAGAATGATTTGAGTTCCTCTGGGTATATTCCCAGAAGGAGGATTTCTGGGTCATATGGAAGGTCTGTATTTAGATCTTTTAGAAATCATCACACTGTTTTCCACAAAGGTTGTACTAGTTTATACTCCTACCAACAGTGTAGAAATGTTCCCTTTTCTCTGCATCCTCTCCAGCAACTGTTGTTTTTTGAGTTATTAAT